TGATATATATATACTTTTTACCCCCTCTTTATCTTTTTCGACCCAGACCCTTGACCATATTTTCTCTTTTGAAATGTGGGATTATATTTTTACCCCCTCTTTGCCTTTTTTCGACCCAAACCCTTGACCATCCCGTGTGGAAATCTCTCCATCTTATCCCCACTTATTATTGGATTCCGATGAGATTTCCCCAAGAAATGAAAACCAAAAGGATTCCAATCTGTTTTTCTAACTTAGAACTTGGTTTTGCAAAATTATTAGAGAAATATAAGAATTTCCGGTCGGTTCCTCGTTAGGAAATCAGGCATTTGCACATGTCAGGATTGTCAGGTTATATCGATGCTGAAAGATTGTATTTCAACAAGGAATCCGGCTAGTAAATCCGACCGAATTCCTATTTAAGTTTTTACTGACCGGAATCCTTTTTAAAAGTGAGACGTTTTCCCAGTCGGATCCCTGCTTAAATTTCCACACGGGATGTTTTCTCTTTTGAAATGTGGGATTATATTTTTACCCCCTCTTTGCCTTTTTTCGACCCATTGGCAAATTTTACCCCCATCCTTTTCACATAGATGTCATTTTAAAATGCGTTTTGAGGAACTAGTCAGAGTTCGTTTCTTCGCTGCATCGGTTACCTTGCAACATACGGCGTTATCGAGTGAACATGTTGCTACGTTCGTTGCCACCATTGGATCCAGCTCGCCTGAGACGCGCTCGGGAGGAGGAGGGGGAGGAGGTGGAGGAAAGAGCTAGACGTAAGTAGTTGTAATTAAAATTAGAAATATTATACAAATTTAAAATATTAAATTTAAAATATTAAATTTAAAATATTAAATTTAAAATATTAAATTTATAGAGAGGCGACGGCTAGATTATGAAAATGACGTGGAGGTGATTGACGTAGAAGAGGAGGTGAAGGTGATTGACCTGGAAGAGGAGGTTGAGGTGGAGGTGATTGACATAGAAGAGGAGGTGGAGGTGATTGACCTGGAAGAGGAGGTGGAGGTGATTGACATGGAAGAGGAGGTGGAGGAGGAGGAGATCGCCGATGAGGAGCAGATCGACGACGAAGAACGGTGGATCCGCGGTCTCGAAGAATTGGGGGCTAACCTGAATTGGGTGGTTGAAATATTTCACCTAGCAGAGGATGACGAGGACAGCGGCTTCGAAGACGGTAAGAATATTTTACTGTGATTTTTAAATCTCACGTATCTCTGAACATATTATAAAGTGTGATTTTTTTCTAGATATTCCATCCTTTCGAGCTCCTTCGCCAGAACATTAGAGAAAAATATGCAACAACTTGTGTTTTTTTTTTACAAAATAAATATATTTCTATCAATATTGCATTAATTTCTTTTTTTCCACACGTATCCTATACTTCTTTCCGTTTGCGCACTCTCCCTTCCACAGCATATTTTTAAATTTATTCATATCTCGATCTTATATGTATGGGTAGGAAGTAAAATTTACCTTTTTCGACTCAGACCCTTGACCATGTTTTCTCTTTTGAAATGTAGGATTATATGCTTAGCTAAAAGGATTTAAAATCTATCCACGCATGAATACGAACCGTAATATTTCTCCTTCTCTCGACGTGTTCAAACGAGTCTCGACGTGTTCAAACAAGTCTCGACATGTCCTGCAATTCTATATTTCCAACAGAGTTTCTCCCCCAACCAGTAAAGAATTTTAATCCTCCATTGAACTGATTACTCTAGGAAAGAATTTTAATCCTCCCGTTATTCTATTTACTCCAGGAAAGAATTTTAATCCTCCCATTATTCTATTTACTCCAGGAAAGAATTTTAATCCTCCCATTATTTTATTCAGTTTACTCCAGGAAAGAATTTTAATCCTCCCATTATTCTGTGTACTTCAGTAAAGAATTTTAATCCTCCACTAATCTGTTTACTCTATAGAAAATCCTCCCTCCCCCGCACCGTCGGGCCCAGTCCCAATCCTCCCATTATTCTGTAGGAAAGAATTTTAATCCTCCCATT